TTTCTCGTGGTCCTTTTTCATCAACACCAAGGATGAAGTTCACAAGTGTTTCAAGCAATGGCTAGCACTTGTTGAGAGAGAGTCAGGGAAGAAGTTACTCACCTTGAGGTCGGATCGAGGAGGTGAGTACATGGGGAAAGCGTTTCAGGGGGAGTTGTTGGCATTGGGCATCAAACAACAGTTCACTTGTCCCTATAGTCCTCAGCAAAATGGAGTGGCAGAGAGGTTTCATCGCACTATCCAGGCTATAGCTACCACTTTCCTTCAGTTCAAAGGCCTTGACAAGCTCTGGTGGGGTGAGGCAATCACTATGGCAATTTATGTTCGCAACAGGAGACCCACAAGGCCCTTACCGGAAGGTGTAACGCCATATGAGGCTTGGTTTGGAGTTAAACCAGATCTGTCTATGCTTCGTGTTTTTGGTTCCATGGCCCAATACCGTGTTCCAGATGCAAAGAGACTCAAGCTGGACAGCAAAGCTCATTGGGGCCTCTTCATCGGCATGAGCAATGAGAGCAAGGGATGGGTCCTTTGGGATCCTGTCACCAAGCGAGAAGTGGTTTCAAGGGATGTTGTCTTCTATGAAGACATGTCCCTTGCAGGTTGGCATAAGTTTTCCTCTTCCTCCTCTCTACCCTCTATCCAACAGGAACCAGCAAGCGCACCTGAGGGAACAACACAAGAGGAGGAAGAAGATGACACCGATTCTGACCATAGCGGACCGATCATCGATCTCCCTCAAGCCGTCGTCAACGAGTCCAACCGTGCCACGCCAGTGCCACCAGCAGCTACTCAACCAAGTGGAGATGAAGTTCAGCCATCAAATGAAGACAATCCACCGCAGCAAGTCACCGTTCCATCACCACCAAAGGAGCAGCAGCCAACAGTCACAAACCAGCCAGCTATATCAACACCAACCTCACAATTTCAACGCCAACCGGATCAGCCCACCACTACGCCATCAAACCCATCACCAGCCATCACTCCAGAGGCAACTACAGAAGCTCATCATCATCCCATGCAGCAGCAATCAACAGCTACAAGACCCCAAGTACCTACATCAACACCATCTACGACTCTTCCTAGCAACAAGTCAACCGTCACCATCCTCAAGTCAACACCGATAATCAAGATATTTCCACGCCAGGAGAAGAACAAGCAGCCGTGCCGCCGTCGCAGCCGGTGTCGCAGCCGTTGTCTCAGCCGCAAATGACCGCATCAACGCAATCAAACACTGTGAGACCGAACCCTACCACTAATGTGTCTCAGCCAACTGAGGAGTTTGGTAAAGGTAAACGAGTCCGCAAGGTAAAAAAGCCCTTCAATTTCATGGTTGACATGTCATCAAGGTGCACATGTGAGGAGAGTGAGAATTGCATTCACAAGAAGGTAGAGGCAATATGCATGGCAGCATCACACCTTCCGCGAGAGCCCTTGAGTCGTCGTGAGGCAATGGCAAGTCCCGAAAGAGAGCATTGGTTGAAAGCCGAGGAAGAGGAGATTGAGAGTCTCATGAAGCGAGGTACATGGCGTCTTGTTGAGCCACCTCCAGGGAAGAAGGTAATTGGTGTCAAATGGGTGTACAAGATCAAGGTAAAAGGTGATGGTAGCCTCGATAGGTACAAGGCAAGGTTAGTGGCAAAAGGTTATTCCCAAATTCCAGGTCTTGACTTCACCGAAACCTTTGCCGTGGTAGCAAAGTACACCACGGTACGAGTCCTCCTCGCCATAGCCGCATATCTTGGTCTCCATATCCATCAAATGGATGTCAAGAACGCATTTCTCTACGGTGTCTTGGAAGAAGAGGTATACATGGCACAACCCGAAGGTTATGATGACGGTACGGGTCGAGTGTGTCGCTTGGTAAAGTCCCTTTATGGTCTCAAACAGTCCCCACGGGTTTGGTATCATGCTCTTGAGCAGGTACTTTTCAAGCATGGTTTCACAAGGTCCATGAGAGACAACGCTCTGTACTTCATGCACACGAGTGAGGGGGAGTACATTTGGCTCTTGGTATATGTCGATGACCTCCTCCTAGTCTCAGGTTCTCTTGATCTTCTCAACAAGGTGAAAGGTATTCTCACGAGTGCATTCACGATGACCGATCTTGGTGAGCCGAGTCATTATCTTGGTATGAACATTGTGACAGATCGTAAGTCACGGTCCATCTTCCTATTCCAGCAAAGGTACATCCAAAAGGTCCTTGAGAGGTTTGGTCTTGATGATAGCAAGCCATCACCTACCCCACTTCCTTCCAAATTTGTCCCTTTGTCTTCACATCAGCCCTATGAAGAGAGAGAGTCAAGCCTTGATATCATAGGTATTAAAGAGTTGTGTCTTGAGGAGAGTGAGCATCATGGTGAGAATTCACTTAAGGTATCCCCACAAGACCTAGCTCTGTACCAAAGTCAGGTTGGGCGTCTCATGTATGCAGCCCTATGCACAAGGCCCGACTTAGCATTCACGGTATCTAAGCTAGCTCAACACATGAGTGCCCCTTCACCTATTCATATGCATGCAGCCAAGCGAGCTCTTCGGTATCTCAAAGGTACTTCTAATCATGGTCTTCTCTTCCAAGCCAGCCCATATGCAAGCTCCCTCCAAGGCTTTACCGATGCAGATTGGGCGGGAGAATCGAGCACACGCAAGTCTACCGACGGCTACATCTTCCTCATGTGTGGTGCCGCTGTTTCTTGGCAATCGCGCAAGCAAAGTTGTGTGGCACTTTCAACAACCGAAGCTGAGTACATGGCAATGACCGAAGGAGCAAAGGAGGCAATCTGGTTACGTGGACTCTTGGAGGAATTGAGGCAGCCGCAAACTCAACCAACTCCGCTCTACGTGGACAACACTTCAGCCGTAGCTCTTTCCAAGAACCCGGTTCATCATGGGCGTACAAAACACATCGAGGTGCAGTACCACTTCATTCGTGAGCAACTAGAGAAGGGAGTTCTCGCCGTCAACTTTTGCCGTTCATTCGATCAAGCAGCAGATTTCATGACCAAGGTTCTTCCACATGATGCATTCAACATGTGCAAGGCAAGAGCAGGCCTCATGACACTTCATGAAGCAGTGGAGCAGTTTGAGGAGAATGAGGAGTGTGAGGGGAAGAGACGTGGGCAGCAGCATGAAGTGTATGCTAAGGAGATGTGAAAGGAGCATCAGCATGGGTGTATGTGTGCTTCGGGTCTGGTGCGAGGGGGAGTGTTGGAGAATCGAGTTTCTGCCGCCCCAGCCCTTTGCACACAAGCAGCAGCAAGGGGGAATGTCGGCGATGAATCAGAGCTTCGGGAAGTACTTCGAAAGTTCCACCACCAATCAGATTTCAGCCGAAGACTCGATATAGTTCAAAGCTGCCTTCAAACCGAAGTGTTGGCAGTTTCTACAGGTTTCTACACATCAGAATCAGCTATAACAGAAATATCCAGAGTTTTCTTATTCATGCACCTCATGTGGCACTCAAAGTCACTCAAGGTCCATCCAATCTAGATTGTGCCCAAGTTACCAGGGAAGTTACATTGTCTATCAGCCTAGTTTGAGCTTTCAATCTGTCTTGTTTGTGATGCCTAGAGTTGTGCTTTAGTGGGCTTGTTAATCTTGAACATAGTGAAGTTTTACCTCATCCAGTCAATTCCAGCAGCCCTGCTAAGACTTTCCAGCCAAGTTTCCAGCCCTCCAGTAGTCACAGCTACTCTGTTTTACAAGTCCCTATACTACAATGAGGTGACGTGACGTGGTGTTCGGAAATGTGGTTGTGAGTCAGGTTGCTGTGAGGTGTCGCTTTAGGCTCTGTGCGACTGATGTGTGCGTAAAGTACATGTCGCAGGCCAACCCCGGTAACATTGGCGAACCTGCGCAAGTTCACGAACATTCTCAACAATCTCGACACCCCCACGGTTCGCGGGCCAATTACGTTTCCCCTCCCAACCAACCTTACTAAGGTTGAACTTCTTGGCCTGCGGGTTTTAAACTCGATTTTGGACCAAACCCTTTTCCGCGATGCACATAAAGCTCCTTTGTTGCTGGCAGTTCAGACCTATACGACTACTAGCACTGCAGTCGTAGATTCAAGTGACTGATCGCCACCAGTCAGCTCCTAAGAAACGAAACACTTTCTTGTTCAGAGTTTCGAAGCAACATGGAAAAACGCCGCAGCGGCGCTTCAAGCGGTTTCGCCACTGCTAGCCGGAAGAAGTGCCGCGGGAGCGACATCATCGTTGCTGCTGGTTTTGTTCGCCGCGGTACTTCTGGGAGCGCCCTCTCAGACCGAAGCACCGCGGCATCCTGACGAGGACGCACCGCACGGCCCCCTGACACAACCCAACGCATGTCACGAGAAATGCAAGAAGATGTTAATGGGGTACTATATTGCCAAAGAAAAAGACACGAGGGCGTCGGGACCGACATTTATTCTCGGGAACTACAACTATGAGCGCTACATTCTCGACCCTGCGGCCGCGGATGTTGTAGATTCCGCATTGACATCCTGGGTAATCACTGATGCAACCCTATACCACAGGAGGGATTCCCCCCTCCCGTACTCATTGCCTTTCTAACCAAACTCATTGCGTTTCTTCCAGCACAATGATCATTGTCTTGACCCGCACATCACAACTTCTCTTATAACTTGCCGCCGTATTTTTCCCTCTCTCTTCGTGGCAGCCAGGTACTCCAGCAACACTGGAATGCTGTCAGCGCTGTGTCATGAAGGATGGCTGCAAGTACTGGCACCTGAAACCCCCAATGAACGGCCAGCCGTAAGTATCTCCATTGGAAAATCGCACTACACTTTGTCTATAATCACGTTCTGTTTTGTCAATCTCTTGTCCAGCCAGTGTACTGTTCTACTCACTCTGCGTGGTAAGTTAATCTGTTATAATGCTTTCACCTTGAGGAACGCCTCCGCATTCCTCTCAAAACTATCGCCTCTCACTTCCACCCACCCCCTGCGGCTATCTTCTCACCCCCCTACCCATGACCCGAGCAGTGGCCAATGCACGATGCTGGGCTCACAGGCAGGCCTCACCGTGAAGAACTGGGACATACACATCCTACCAACGTTCTTCGGCGGAGAGTGCAACCCCCTTGCCAATACGAACGATGATCCGCATTTCCGGGGCGCAGATGGCACCCAATACGACTTCAACGGCCTTCTCGGCCACTCCTTCTGCTTGCTTTCCGACCGTCGGATCCACATCAACATGGGAATCAAGGGCTACCAGCCCATCGCGAATCTCCCTGGCACGGCGACATCATTGGACGAGGAGTCGCTCGCTGCAGCGCTGGAAGCGGCGGCCAATGAGAAGAAGCCACGTCATATCAGACAGCTGGAGCAGGAGCAGCTGAGCGTGGAGGAACTGAGCGAGCTGGAGAGGATGCGGGCCAATGGGAGCCTGCCGTTGACTGCTGAGGTGGTGGCTGCTCTTGACCGGGAGATGGGTCGTCGCAGCGGCGGAAATGGAGGGGAGGAGGAGCATCACTCGATTCAGTATGAGAAGGATGAGCTGAAGAAGAGGCTTCTAAAAGCAAAACCGATTCGCAGTTGGATCAGGTACATTAGACCGTGCTTGCTTAAATCAGTTGTTTTCTTTGGTACAAGTAAAAACTGTGCACTGTTTTGCAGTTTTCCCTTCTGTTTTCACTTGTAATAATGCTCACGTTCCACATCAACGTTCGTACTTTGTGCCTTCCAGGGAGCTCCAAGTGATGTGGCGCGATTCGACTGGCGCGCAGCACTCTGTGTTCATCAAGGCGCGAGACGGCAAGGAGCAAGGGAGGGGCAGCAGCGGGTTCATCGACCGGCTGGAGCTCGACGGCTCGCCGGTGGCCCCGCCTCTGTCCGAAGGCTCTTTCATTGTTGGCAGCAGCGGGTTCAAGCTGCTTCTGGCGGAGACACGGAGCTGCAAGGGGAAGGACGAGGACGAGTTTCATCTCACGATCGACGGCCTGGTGGTCATGGGCATCATGGCACGTTTGGCGCATCCGCTCATGCAGACTGCTACAGAGGCCCAGGCGCATTTCAACGTCCACATTGCCCGGCTGAACGTGAGCAAAACTCTCCTTTCTTTCTTTTCTATGATTGTTATGGGCTTGCTGTGCCCGGCCATGTGCTTGCATGATGACCATATCTGGCTTCAAGTCTGGTAACTTTTTGTCACATTGTCACAGGCAATCATCCTCGCTTCAACCATCTCCCTCCTCTATCCTCCCTCTTGACGCCCCTCTCCTCGTCCCTTCTGCAGCACACAAACGGTAATCACGGCGTGCTGTGCCCAGCTGCATGCTGACATGATAACCATCTTCTCTGGGGTTGGGTGTGGTAACATCTGTCATATTGCCCCATGCAACCATCTTCCCTTCACCCATCTCCCTCCTCTCCCCTCCCTCTTGACGCCCCTCTCCTCGTCCCTTCTGCAGCACACAAACGGTAATCACGGCGTGCTGTGCCCAGCTGCATGCTGCCATGATAACCATCTTCTCTGGGGTTGGGTGTGGTAACATCTGTCATATTGCCCCATGCAACCATCTTCCCTTCACCCATCTCCCTCCTCTCCCCTCCCTCTTGACGCCCCTCTCCTCGTCCCTTCTGCAGCACACAAACGGTAATCACGGCGTGCTGTGCCCAGCTGCATGCTGACATGATAACCATCTTCTCTGGGGTTGGGTGTGGTAACATCTGTCATATTGCCCCATGCAACCATCTTCCCTTCACCCATCTCCCTCCTCTCCCCTCCCTCTTGACGCCCCTCTCCTCGTCCCTTCTGCAGCACACAAACGGTAATCACGGCGTGCTGTGCCCAGCTGCATGCTGACATGATAACCATCTTCTCTGGGGTTGGGTGTGGTAACATCTGTCATATTGCCCCATGCAACCATCTTCCCTTCACCCATCTCCCTCCTCTCCCCTCCCTCTTGACGCCCCTCTCCTCGTCCCTTCTGCAGCACACAAACGGTAATCACGGCGTGCTGTGCCCAGCTGCATGCTGACATGATAACCATCTTCTCTGGGGTTGGGTGTGGTAACATCTGTCATATTGCCCCATGCAACCATCTTCCGTTCACCCATCTCCCTCCTCTCCCCTCCCTCTGGACGCCCCTCTCCTCGTCCCCTCTGCAGCACACGAGCGGCATTCACGGCGTGCTGGGTCAGACCTTTCGAGCGGAGGAATCCCGCAAGGTGCGCTCGCTGCGGTACCGCCTGCTGACCCGCCTGCTGTGCGAGCCGGTGGAGGTGGAGAGTGAGAGTGGCAGGGGATTCCTGGATGGGCGCACGGAGGACTATATCACCTCGGATATTCACTCCGCGGATTGCATGTATGCAGCTGCATGGCGCAGGGGCGAACACGAGAACAGCGATGGAAGCGATTTTATATGACAAGGGATTGTGAAGCTGTGCTGGAGAGTCTATCATATTTGGGTTGTGGCTTTACTGATTAGATACTGGTGAGATACAAACACATAAATTATTAATAGTGTCAGAATGTTATAATTGTCTAGCCTGCAGTGGGGTACTCCATAGTGAGTACAGCCCAATTAGGGTTTGCTATATGTGTCCAACTGCTTGCTAGTGAACCTCCTCCTTTCTTCATTCTTTCTTTCTACTACTAATTCTGACATGCTATCAGAGCAGGTCGATCCCATCGGGTCGATCCTGTGGGTGGGCCCACCACCTCACTGCTTCCGCTGCTACTGCTACTCTGTGTGTTGCACGCCCCGTGGCGTGCGACGGATTTTTCATCCCGCCGCGCGCTCGGAGCGTGCGGCGGTTTTCTGCCCGCCGTGCGCCCCGAGGCGCGCGGCGGTTTTCTGCCCGCCGTGCGCCCCGAGGCGCGCGGCGGCTTTCTGCCCCGTCACTCCGCGCGTCGCTCCCGGGAGGCGCTGCGACGGGCGACGGGGACCCGCGCGTCGCCCCCCGTCGCCCGTCGCGGCCTGCGCGACCTGCGTAGGGCCCGCGCGCGGCCCGTACAGCCTGCGCGCGGCCCGTACGGGCTGCGCCAGGCCCGCGCGCGGCCCGTACGGGCAGCGCCAGGCCCGCGCGCGGCCCGTACGGGCTGCGCCAGGCCAGGGCGCGCCTCGGGCCGCCCGCACGCGGTTCGTACGGGCTGCGCCAGGCCCGTGGGCGCCCTGTTTCCTCTTCCCCTGCGCTGCCCGCTGTCCCCCGTGCTTCTGACGGCGCCCCACCCCTGCTGCTGCCCGTTCTCCTGAATTAGGGTTTGGGGGTGGGGGGTATGGGGGTGCAGTTTCTGTGCGTCGTCCCCTGCTCCTCCTCCTCCTCCGTCTCCCAGTGCTGCAGCTGCCGCTGAGGGGGGTGGGTGTGTGGGAGCCGAAGGAGTGGTACTAGGGGGGTGACGTGCAAGTGGAGTTAGGAGTGAAGCAGTGGGTGTGTGGGGGGTGTGTGGGACAGTTGGAGGAGGTTGAGCGGAGGCTGCTGTCTTGTCGTCCGCAGCACCTGTAGTCCGGGGCGCACTGTCCTGGTAGCCCAGAGAGTCTGCTGCGCCTGTCGCCCGAGGGTCCGTTGCTCCTGTAGCTCGTCGTAGCCCGTGAGCCAGTTACTCCAGTAGTCCGGGGCGCACTGTCCCGGTAGCCACTGTGCCAGCAGCTCCTGTTGCCCGTGTGTCTGCAGCTTCAGCCGCCGTCTCTCATCTTCTCTCCTCTCACAGTCCCTCCTCCTCCTCACTTGCCCGCTGTGATTACCTCTAACTTTGCTTATAATTGTGAACTATTACTATGCTTGCTTGTTGTGCTGATTACACCCCACTTTGGCTATGGGGGTGTGTCAGAATGTTATAATTGTCTAGCCTGCAGTGGGGTACTCCATAGTGAGTACAGCCCAATTAGGGTTTGCTATATGTGTCCAACTGCTTGCTAGTGAACCTCCTCCTTTCTTCATTCTTTCTTTCTACTACTACTTCTGACAAATAGTTGTGCTCCTTTTTGGTATGCTAAATAAAATTGAAGTGTTCAGGTGATCTGTAACTCCTGTATATGTTTGGTTTGATGGTTTGAACTGGTTAACTCTCAAATGAAACTCATTTGAAAGTAGGTGCAGTGCACATATAGACAGGAACCCACGTGTTACTCGTATGAATCTAACTATCAAAGGTGTTCAAAGTCATGTTGATATCTAGGGGCATGTTGAGCTAGGAAAGCAACACTAAGTTTGCAGCAACAACCAACACTGAGCTACAATAGGGCAAGCATTCTGACTATCATGCAAGACTAGGCATCAAGTGTTCCCTCCATTTTCCCTTCTCGAGCTAGAAAGCCTTGCTGTCCTTGGTCACCTTGCTATCCTACCCAATCTTTCTGCCACCTATGCTGCTCAGCCTTCCATACTATCCTCCAGGACCTGCCATAGGTCCCCCAACCTCAGCTCCCACGGATCCTTTGGTGCTTGTGGGGAGGCCACCTCTGCTGCATGGTTGGACTTGGTGTGTCCGTCGTTTGGCACCTCTGTAGCATCACGGCGGTAGTGTGCATTGAGTCGTGCCACCACTGTGGTCTGTGGTCCATGGCGGAAGCCCCTTTTAGCGGCATTGGTGGCAAGAAGTCGGAAAAACTTTACAGTGACTGCCGCCAATGTCCTATAGGTTTTCTACTACTAACCCCAGGAACCCCACATACGAGGGCCTCCTCATAAAGCTGGTGCAGTACGGAGCAGTCTGTCGACCTGACAAGTGAGCAGCGGTCGACAAGGGGAGCTCGGCGACAACCGCTGACAGTTCTGGTCGACGGAAGGGGTCCGTCGACCAGGGGGTAGCTCGACAGGAGCTGTGGTCGACCAGAGGCACCTGGTGGTCGACCAGAGGCACCTGGTGGTCGACCACAGGCAGTGGTGGTCGACCAGAGCACTTGGTGGTCGACCAGGTCGACCGGGTAACCTGCTCGACGAGTTCTGCGGAGGCACGCGAACGTCGTCGAGGTCGCGATGGCGAAGGTGACTTCGGGATGGTATCTCGAAGTCGATGTGGCTCGTCAGGCGCAGACAACAGCTGACGAATGCACAGCAATGCAAGTCGAGCCAATCGTCTGCGCGCACCTGCGAGCATGCGCACTACTGTCTTCTATGAGGCAACGCTGCACATCCGCTCAGCTGCAGCGTTGGCATGCCGTCGACCTGCAGTGTTGACAGGTCGCCTTTCTGCAGTGCTGGCGCAGCTACGCAACGCTGGCAGGCGGTCGACCAAGCTGTGCTGGCGGTCGACCAGGCTAGCTGCAGAGTTGCTAGGTGCATGATGTAGTTATTGTTGTCATTGCTTGTTCAATCATTCTGTAATGTCAACTTTGCTTAGTGAAACTCTTGCCGATTTCTCCCGTGTATGCGCAAGCACTAAGGAACTAAGCAAAGCTACGATCACTCCTAGTAGTTCGTGCCAACCCCCATGGTCTAGCTCACTACCGTTGTAGAGTGACTCTCCGCATGGTGCGGTGAGCGTGGAACGAACACGCGACCTTCAGATAGGAGCCGACTTTTGCACCTACTAAGTCGTTCGTATGCCGGCAGCAGCCTTAGTCGCCATGGCCGACACCGTAGCTAATGTGGGCGTAGCGGACACCTTGGAGGCACGTCTAGCTGATGCGAGGAAACGCCATGAGGATGGCGAGTACGGGTCGATCCCTTGGGCGATCGTCGAGTCGGGCATCCGGTCGCAGTGGGCGACGGAACACCCTCCCGTCCTGCATCTCCTCGACCGGTGAGAAACGAAGGTGGCGTCGAAAACGAGGTCTACGGTGGTGCACGAGTCAGCGACAGCGAAGGCATGCAGCAAAGAGGGGTGATCAAGGACCACGGTGGCGTCAACAGGATTCAGGCACGAGTGCAGCGGTCGTCGGCGGCTGCAGGCAGCTCGCGTGCCGACGTCGATGGTCGATGTCGATCTCATCTACGAAGCGGTGGAGGGCTCTCGGCGATGACGCACGTGACGACGGGCGGGATTGCACCGGCGTATGGCTACTTCAAGTTCTCGCCGGACCGGATCACCGTCGCACCGCTGCAAGGTCGACGGGACCTTTTCAGCTGGAGGGAGTCGATCGAACCTTTGTTGGAGGTCGCCGGGCTGAAGGGCTTCGCCGACGGCACCGTGCCAATTCCGCCCGTGGATGATGTCGAGCTGCGCGGGGAGTTTCGTGCGGCTCACTTGCTCACCTTCATGGTCATCTCGAGGTGCTGCTCGCCGGTGTTGCAGCTAGCGCTCAGGAGCTGTCAAGAGCGACTGGATGCTGGTCACCAAGCATGGCAATTCATCCTGTCGACGTACCAGGTAAAGGACGACCTGTACATCGGGAAGCTGGAGGAGAAGATGACTCACATTCGGATGGGCGAGCAGGAGTCGGCGACGGACTACTGCAACCGTGCTCCACGGATCCTGGCTGAGATGCGGATGGCGGGCGCCGAATACTCGACGCCGTCCTATGTCACCCATGTCTTCAAGGGCCGGCCGCGCAGCTACAGCCTCATGAAGACGATCACCATGGTGCCCGGCACACATGAGTCCCTAGACGAGGACTCCCTTACCAGCTACATTCTCCAAGATGAGGCGATGCAGGAGGCAGAGCAGCCCACGGAGCTCCTTTCGCAAGCGAATTACGATGCACCGACGAAGCATAATCGTCAGCAGGAGCAGCGCGGGAAGCTGGGCGGAGGTAGCAGCGGAAGTGGGCGGTCGACGAAGGACGTCGATGAGAAGAGGTCGACGAGGGGCAAGGGTCATGAAGGTGGTGGACGACGGCGTGAGTGCTTGATCTGCCACGACCCCGACCATCTCTCCTTCGAGTGCCCCGACCGCGATGACATCGACGAGGACAACAGCAAGGGAGGCCGCGGTCGATCGGCCAGTCGTCGCCCCCATCGAGATGCGAAGCCGCGCAAGGAGAAGCAGACGTCGAAGAAGACGCCGTCGACGAAGCCCGTCGACACCTCCAGCGGCAAGGACCGAGGCGATGGGGAGGCGTCGTGCTCGATGGTCGGCGTAGTGGAGCCGATAGTATCGCTGGCGCTGGAGGCTGGCGACTTCCAGGCGGTGGCGGCAGCTATGCAGGCCAACCTGATGGCGGTGCAGCTCGACAGCGGGTGCTCCCACTACCTGATGGGGACGAAGGCGGTCTTCGTCAACATGGCGCCGAGCGACGGGGTGAAGCACGTGCGTGGATTCAACGGGGCGCTGCAGCCTGTCGAGGGTCGCGGAACCGTCGCTCTGCAAGGGGAGGCCGGGAAGCAGGTCCTCATCCCTGGCGTTCTCTACGTTCCGGGCGTCCAGGCGAACCTGCTGTCAGGCGGCCAACTGAAGGAGAGCGGAGTGCAACTGCAGGGCGACGGCGACGAGATGCTGCTCATCGCTGCGACCCGGGAGGTGCTCGGTCGATCATGCTACACCG